CCCCTGCCAGCAGGAGGGTTGTGAACCCCTGCCAGCAGGAGGGTGGTGAACCCCTGCCAGCAGGAGGGTGGTGAACCCCTGCCAGCAGGAGGGTGATGAACCCCTGCCAGCAGGAGGGTGGTGAACCCCTGCCAGCAAGAGGATGATGAACCCCTGGCAGCAGGTGGGTGATGAACCCCTGCCAGCAGGAGAGTGATGAACCCCTGCCAGCAAGTGGGTGATGAACCCCTGCCAGCAGGTGGATGATGAACCCCTGCCAGCAGGTGGATGATGAACCCCTGCCAGCAGGAGAGTGATGAACCCCTGCCAGCAAGTGGGTGATGAACCCCTGCCAGCAGGTGGATGATGAACCCCTGCCAGCAGGTGGATGATGAACCCATGCCAGCAGGTGGGTGATGAACCCCTACCAGCAGGTGGATGATGAACCCCTGCCAGCAGGTGGGTGATGAACCCCTGCCAGCAGGTGGGTGATGAACCCCTGCCAGCAGGTGGGTGATGAACCCCTGCCAGCAGGTGGATGATGAACCCCTGCCAGCAGGTGGATGATGAACCCCTGCCAGCAGGTGGGTGATGAACCCCTACCAGCAACAGGGTGATGAACCCCTACCAGCAGGTGGATGATGAACCCCTGCCATCAGGTGGATGATGAACCCCTGCCAGCAGGTGGGTGATGAACCCCTACCAGCAACAGGGTGATGAACCCCTGCCAGCAGGTGGATGATGAACCCCTGCCAGCAGGTGGATGATGAACCCCTGCCAGCAGGAGGGTGATGAACCCCTACCAGCAGGTGGGTGATGAACCCATGCCAGCAGGAGGGTGATGAACCCCTACCAGCAGGTGGATGATGAACCCCTGCCAGCAGGTGGATGATGAACCCCTGCCAGCAGGAGGGTGATGAACCCCTACCAGCAGGTGGGTGATGAACCCATGCCAGCAGGAGGGTGATGAACCCCTGCCAGCAGGTGGATGATGAACCCCTGCCAGCAGGTGGATGATGAACCCCTGCCAGCAGGGGGGTGATGAACCCCTAACAGCAACAGGGTGATGAACCCGTACCAGCAGGTGGGTGATGAACCCCTACCAGCAACAGGGTGATGAACCCCTGCCAGCAGGAGGATGATGAACCCCTACCAGCAGCAGGGTGATGAACCCCTGCCAGCAGGTGGGTGATGAACCCCTACCAGCAACAGGGTGATGAACCCCTGCCAGCAGGTGGATGATGAACCCCTGCCAGCAGGAGGATGATGAACCCCTACCAGCAGGTGGGTGATGAACCCATGCCAGCAGGAGGGTGATGAACCCCTACCAGCTGGTGGATGATGAACCCCTGCCAGCAGGTGGATGATGAACCCCTGCCAGCAGGAGGGTGATGAACCCCTACCAGCAGGTGGGTGATGAACCCATGCCAGCAGGTGGATGATGAACCCCTGCCAGCAGGTGGATGATGAACCCCTGCCAGCAGGAGGGTGATGAACCCCTACCAGCAGGTGGGTGATGAACCCATGCCAGCAGGAGGGTGATGAACCCCTGCCAGCAGAGGGTGATGAACCCCTACCAGCAGGTGGGTGATGAACCCATGCCAGCAGGAGGGTGATGAACCCCTGCCAGCAGGTGGATGATGAACCCCTGCCAGCAGGTGGATGATGAACCCCTTCCAGCAGGGGGTGATGAACCCCTAACAGCAACAGGGTGATGAACCCGTACCAGCAGGTGGGTGATGAACCCCTACCAGCAACAGGGTGATGAACCCCTGCCAGCAGGAGGATGATGAACCCCTACCAGCAGCAGGGTGATGAACCCCTGCCAGCAGGTGGGTGATGAACCCCTTCCAGCAACAGGGTGATGAACCCCTGCCAGCAGGTGGATGATGAACCCCTGCCAGCAGGAGGATGATGAACCCCTACTAGCAGCAGGGTGATGAACCCCTACCAGCAGGTGGGTGATGAGCCCCTGCCAGCAGGAGGGTGATGAACCCCTACCAGCAACAGGGTGATGAACCCCTGCCAGCAGGAGGATGATGAACCCCTACCAGCAGCAGGGTGATGAACCCCTGCCAGCAGGAGGATGATGAACCCCTACCAGCAGGTGGGTGATGAACCCCTGCCCCTAGGAGTTCCGTTACTAAGCATGCCCCGGACAAACAAACAAACAAAGGCGGCCCTGGACAAAACAGGCCGTGTGGGCCTAAAAGCTTCCTCTCAGGCGTCTCCAGGCAGACACTTCCTAACAACGGCCGCCTTCCTCCTCCAGAATATATGTTGTCAAAATCTTCCAAGATATAATATTTCTTACCGTTATTCCTCGTACGTTTGTCATCCTCTAGCATCTTACACAATATGTAAATAGGCCCCATTTGTGTGATATATATATATAATATATAGAGTGCAACACACACTATCTATCTGTGTATCTGTGTATCTATCTCGATCATAACCAGCACAGTATTTATACTATTAATCCCTTTCTCTCTGCCTCCATCAGGTCATTTGGGGTGCTACTGTGGGAGGTGATGTCGTTGGGGTACATGCCGTACCCAGGCCGGGGTAACCAGGAGGTGATGCAGCTGGTGACCAATGGCGGTCGTCTGGAGCCGCCCACCAACTGCCCTGGACCCGTCTACAGGGTCATGACCCAGTGTTGGCACCCTATACCTGATGAGCGCCCGGCCTTCACCACCATCCTCGAGAGACTCGGCTACTGTATACAGGTGAGTTGGGGGGGGGGGGGGTTGCGTGTGTGTGCGTGTCTGTGTGCGTGTGTGTGCGTGTCTGTGTGCGTGCGTGCGTGCGTGTGTGCGTGTCTGTGTGCGTGCGTGCGTGTGTGCGTGTCTGTGTGCGTGCGTGCGTGTGTGCGTGTCTGTGTGCGTGCGTGCGTGTGTGCGTGTATGAGGCCTCAATGGCTCTGCTCTTCAAATAGGAGAAAGGTTTATTTTTAAACTTTCCAAAGTTCACTTTAAGCTTCTAATAGATCAACTTCACGTGAATTCAAAGATTTTCAGTAAGGTTAGTGTGTTGTGGCATGTATGGATATCTATGTATACATATGACTGTTGTATGCATATCTATGTATAAAGATGACTGATGTATGCATATCTATGTATAAAGATGACTGATGTATGCATCTCTGTATAAAGATGACTGATGTATGCATATCTATGTATAAAGATGACTGTTGTATGTATATCTATGTATAAAAATGACTTGTATGTATATCTATGTATCAAGATGACTGATGTATGTATATGTATTAACTGGTCCTACTTGGCGTGACAGGACCCGGATGTAGTGAGTCACGTGCTGCCGGTGTTCCAACGGCCGCCATCTGCAGAGAGAGACGCGACGGTGATGAGACCGCTCGACAACGATGCCTGTCTCACCGTCACCAGACGGACAGACGAGCCTCAGAGCCCCGCCTCAACCGACTACCTTATACCTCTCCCGTCTTCGTACTCTCTGTCTACTGTCCGCTCCGAGCTCAACTCCACGCCGTCACTCGACTCCGGGACGGATTGCTGCCAGATGGAACGGCTGTTGGATGCCGCCCCGCCGCCGCCTCCGCCACCCACCTGGGAGACCAGCTTTACCAACGAGGCTCCGCCGGTTGTCACACACCAGCGCACGAAGTCAGTTCCGCCGCCCACCACCATGGCCACACGCACGCCCTCGCACAGCACGCCCGCGCGGATGGCAGAGTCTCAGTCCACGCAGCCGTTGTTGAAGTCCTCGCCGCCGGTGTCCCCGCGCACACAAGAGGCCAGGGAACGGCTCATGCGGCCGGGCGAGAGACCCGAACCACCTCCCATAATTCCCCTCCAGTCAGTGGGCTCCACGCGGGAACGCCCGCGGTCTCAACACTACCACCCGCACCGCTACAACAACAGCGGGAGCAGCAACAACAGCAGCAGTAGCAACAACAGCAGTGTCAGTAACAGCAGCAACACCGCCAACAGTCACAGTAGCGCCAGTACCCTGCCGCTGGATCCTGCCACCCTGCCGTGCATCCCACCGCCCCTGCAGTACGTCAACGTCCAGGTACGAGGCTCAGAGTACGACCATGAGCCGTACATCATCCATGAAACGCGAGAACATCGCGAAATATCGTGCTAAAGTTCAACCGTTGGACACATGCGTCTAGACTTTCAAACTGCAGCAGCTGCTGCTGCTTCTGCCATGTTGCAAGCTAGCAATGTGTGTTGCCTTGGCCTCTCCCTCGGTGGGTGGCGGCGTAGGGCAGGGCAGTGCGGGGAGTGATCTCCTCCGACCTCCCGCCCTTCAGGTCAAGGTACCTCACGTCTTCACATGAAATGATTTCACTTCAGGAAACGGACACTGACTGTGTGTCAGCGTGCTCCTGTAGAGCGGTGCTGAGTGGTCGTGTGGCCCTGTGTGTCGGACAGCGGGTGCCAGGCACTGTGGGTCTCCAGTGCCATTAACAGTTACAGGTGAAACTGAACTGCCACCACCAACGAAAAATGATCTTTCATTGTGCATATATGACACGATCTAAGGTTATCACAGTGCCAAATATAAGACAAACAGTATTAAATACTTGTGAAATAAAGAGCATTATTTTATAACATGTCAAGAGGTAAATAAGAGATGCCAGGTGGCATCTTGTTGAGGGTTGTATGCTGGAGGAAGAATTGGGGATGCCAGTTTACAGACACTTACGTAGCAAGTGAAATTGTGTATTATATATACATATATAATATATATGACATTGACCCCTTCTTTACTTAAGGCATATATGGAGAGATGTGGCGTCTCCCCCCACCTCTGAAGATGTTAAGGTCTTCACATATTAGCTGTAAGGTCGGACAGATACGCGATGCTCAAGGGTTTGTGTAAAGGGAGTTCACATGAAGCATATACACAATATTCTTTTATGCTTGTCAAGGTTGGAATGTTGCGGGACTTAGGCACATCGGTTCAGGAAGCCATTGGCTCTATCTCCCCCGTCGTTACTATTACCGTCTACACCTGTCTACCACCGCTGCCACTGTCTGCGCCTGTCAGTCTCCACCAGTACTCTTCACACTAACCACTGAACCACCACGACCTGACCATCAGCCGTCAGGTGGGTCGACCTAGCCCCACCTGCAAAGGGGGATATTAACCAAGATATTACAACTGTTCGAGCCATCAGACTGACACTATCCAGACCATCCCTGGCTAGTACAGCAGCCCTTCCGGGGTTCCTTGGCAGACCATCCACAGGGTAGCGCCACCCAGACCTTTCTGTACGTGGATATTAAGCAGACCGTCACTGTGGAACAAGAAAGACCTTCCTTGAGGGGAAAACACTCCCCGTGAAACTATCCAGAGGATACGAGCGTTACATGAATATTATCACCCGAGCATCTCGTTCATATCCAGCTGAGCCATCCATCTCGTGACTGACAGGTAAACAGAGAGATTCAAGAGTTGTAGTTAGCGGTGTGTGGAAGGGTGTGTATTGATTGATGGTGGTGGTGGTGGTGGTGGTGGTGGTGGTGGTACTAGTAGTGGTGGTAGCGGTGACGATGGTAAACGTCTGGTCCACCGCCAGATGGTGCCTAGGCAGAGAGAGAGAGAGAGAGGGAGGGAGGGAGAGGGTGAACAAATAAGAGACAGTGAAGTAGGAGAGAAAAATTCATCCTAGTCAACAAAGCAGGGTATATTAAGTACTATATAAGTACACAGCGCAGTACTCTCCCGTGTACTCACCTGTGTACTGTAGCTTGCGTAAGTCTCTCACCCACACACATACACCTTAAACAGGACCTCCCACGCTCGTGTCTAACCTGTTTATAGTTACAAACTGTGTACAGAGACCTGGGGGGATAATACGCTCCAAGATCACATCTCAAGTGATAATATAGTTTTATACTTCTTCGATCCAAATGGCACTCAAGTGTGTAAGTTCAGCAGAAGCGCTCAAGTGGACTTAGCTGAGGGGTTTTGTCTTGAGGTAGAGTTCGCGGCAGTTTTTCTTTAGTAAAGTTTTGAGATATAACCCGTAAGAGGGGTTCTCTCTGGTGTGACGCCACAAGCAGAACACACATGCGTTCCATTACTCCGATTAAGAGTCGTGTATATATATATATATATATATATATATATATATATATATATATATATATATATATATATATATATATATATATATATATATGCTGTACTGCAAAAATCAATCGAGACAATAAAATGAGGGCTTTTGAACCAATGGATTTTCACGCGATACTGAAGGCTGTGCGGGGTTGTGGGGTAGGCTGTGGGGGGGGGGGTTGTGGGGGTAGGCTGTGGGGGGGGTAGTGGGGTATGCTCTGGGGGGGAGGGTTGGGGGGGGGGGGGGGTTGGCTGTGGGAGGGGGGTTGTGGGGTAGGCTGTGGGGGGGATTAGTGGGGTAGGCTGGGGGGGGGGTTAGTGGGGTAGGCTGTGGAAGGAGGGGTTGTAGGGTTGGCTGTAGGAGCCACACTGTGAAGGGGTGTTAAGACCCAAATATTACAGTGAGGGAAGAGTTTAACAAGTAAGAGGAAGAGTGTGGGTGATGGTGTGACCACATTATAGCCACACTCTGCAACATGTACCAGGAATGTTTATTGACTTTTATATAAATGTGAAAACTGCACGCGGCCAGGGGGGGCCAGGATTAAGCATTTATGCAACTATTTGCGAAACCTGTCCATCTTTTCCTCAATCCTGGCGGCTTAGTTGATATTTATTAAACAGATGATGAACTCCAAAGGGCTGCGAGGTGGTCTATAACAACCTTGGGTGTAGAGGAGGACCTTGGAGCAGTTGCCAGGTCTTAAACTGTTTCATAAACATAGACCAAAGCTGCCACATCTTCAGGGGACACTTAAGTTATTGAGAGCCTTAGCAGGAAGAGCAACTGTTTCGTCTGATCAGAAGCGTACGCACCCAAGTAACCCACCTAACTTGTCGAGGCCGATGCATAGGGATTCGTCAAAATTAGGGTGCTTTAACTTGTACTAGTACGTCGCATCGTTAACGGGGCGATTCCGTCAAAGATTTCGTCATATATATATATATATATATATATATATATATATATATATATATATATATATATATATATATATATATATCTCTCTCCTCTCTCTCTCTCTCTCTCTCTCTCTCTCTCTCTCTCTCTCTCTCTCTCTCTCTCTCTCTCTCTCTCTCTCTCTCTCTCTCTCTCTCTCTCTCTCTCTCTCTCTCTTCTCTCTCTCTCTCTCACACACACACTCTAAGGGACACAGGTGGAAACTGAGTGCCCAAATGAGCCACAGAGATATTCGAAAGAATTTTTTTAGTGTCAGAGTGGTTGACAAATGGAATGCATTAGGAAGTGATGTGGTGGAGGCTGACTCCATACACAGTTTCAAGTGTAGATATGATAGAACCCAGTAGGCTCAAGAGCCTGTACACCAGTTGATTGACAGTTGAGAGGCGGGACCAAAGAGCCAGAGCTCAACCTCCGCAAGCACAAATAGGTGAGTACACACACGCACACACACACACACACACACACACACACACACACACACACACACACACACACACACACACACACACACACACACACACACACACACACACACACACACACACCCCAGAGGCCCACATCAAAAGAATATCATCAGCGGCATATGCTAGACTGGCCAACATAAGAACTGCCTTCAGAAACTTGTGTAAGGAATCTTTCAGAACCCTGTATACCACTTATGTAAGACCAATCCTGGAGTATGCAGCTCCAGCCTGGAGTCCATACCTAGTTAAACACAAGACAAAGTTAGAGAAGATTCAGCGGTATGCCACCAGGCTCGTCCCGGAACTGAGAGGATTGAGCTACGAGGAAAGGCTAAAGGAGCTGAACCTCACATCCCTGGAAAACAGAAGAGTAAGGGGAGACATGATAACCACCTACAAAATTCTCAGGGGAATTGACAGGGTGGACAAAGACAAACTCTTCAGCACGGGTGGGACACGAACAAGGGGACACAGGTGGAAACTTAGTACCCAGATGAGCCACAGAGACGTTAGAAAGAATTTTTTCAGTGTCAGAGTAGTTAATAAATGGAATGCACTAGGAAGTGATGTGGTGGAGGCTGACTCCATACACAGTTTCAAATGTAGGTATGATAGAGCCCAGTAGGCTCAGGAATCTGTACACCAGTTGATTGACAGTTGAGAGGCGGGACCAAAGAGCCAAAGCTCAACCCCCGCAAGCACAATTAGGTGAGTACAATTAGGTGAGTACACACACACACACACACGCACACACACGCACACACACACACACACACACACACACACACACACACACACACACACACACACACACACACACACACACACACACACACACACACACACACACACACACACACACACACACACACACACACACACACACACACACACACACACACACACACACATGTTTAAGCGACTTCAGCATGTGTGTGCCCTGAAAAACACATGCCAAACATGTTTAAACTACCCCCCCCCCCCTTACACTGCAGAGTGCACACACCACCACAACACACACACGCGTAGTTCAGACGAGTGTGTGTGTGCGCTTGGGAACTCGTTGAAATGTCGTACGTCTTCCCCGTCCGTGGTACGTGTAGCTGACGACGGAGTTTGAGTTAACACTGCGTAAACAAAATAAATAAAACTTTTTGTTTTACCTAACTAGAAACGTACAAACCCAACCAACCTCCCTGACCTATAAAGGCCGATGCCGTCACAATTACGGTGCTTTAATTTCGACTAATACACTTCAATTTTAACGTTTTTACTGGATTTGCGTCAAAGTGCGCGGTACGCGGTGTGAGGACGGGGGTGTGGAGGCGGGGAATGCACAAGACACCGCATGAATTTAGTACAAGGAAAACGGCTTGGTCTCTATCATTTTCTATGACTGTTTCTTGGGCGCCAGCTGTGTTTTTACGCGGCTCCTTCACTACTTCTTCAGTGGTGCTGAGATCCACCGCCTTCCTTTCTCAGTGGTGCTGAGATCCACCGCCTTCCTTTCTCAGTGGTGCTGAGATCCACCGCCTTCCTTTCTCAGTGGTGCTGAGATCCACTGCCTTCCTTTCTCAGTGGGGGTTGAATGGATTGCTGTCGGGTGAAGTTGTTCTTTGACTAGGATTGTGAACACTTCAACTCATTGTATATACACCTCTCGGTGTATATATGTTGAGAGGTGTATACACCGCTTCTCGGTGTATATTCGCTGAGAGGTGTATACCACGCTTCTCTATGTATATTTACACTGAGTATACACTGAGTGGTGTACACGCCGCTTCTCGGTGTATATTCGTTGAGAAATTACTTTAGTCCTGGACGGTTGAGGAGTAGCGTGCAGGCGGGGGAAGGTCAGTAAAGTATTGTGGCGCCCTGTAACCCTCCAGAGGTCGCCACGCCTTAAGTCCAACTCTAAACCATCTTTTTTGAGCGCTTAATTTGAACCGAACCTTGGCTACCCTTCTTCAAGGAGTGTCTCAAAGAACACACACACACACAGTAAGAGTAACTAGTAGGGTGCTCCAATGGATGAGGGAGTACCTAAACAACAGGAAGCAGAGAGTTACTGTGAGGGGTGAGACCTCAGACTAGCGTGATGTCACCAGCGGAGTCCCACAGGGCTCTGTACTCGGACCTATCCTGTTTCTGATATTCGTGAATGATCTCCCAGAAGGAATAGACTCATTCCTCTCAATGTTTGCTGACGACGCCATAATTATGAGAAGGATTAAGACAGAGGAGGACTGCTTGAGGCTTCAAGAAGACCTCAACAAACAGAAGGAATGGTCCAACAAATGGCTATTAGAGTTTAACCCGAGCAAATGTAAAGTTATGAATATAGGTGCATTCAACCGGAAGCCACATACAAAGTACCATTTTTTGGGAGATGAAAATCTCCATGAATCAGAGTGAGAAAGTTCTGGTAGTTGATATCACGCCAGACTTGTCCCCTGAAGCCTACATCAAGACGATAACATCAGCGGCATATGTCAAGTTGGTCAACATAACAACGACCATTAGAAACTTGTGTAAGGAAACAAGTCAGAACCTTGTATACCACGTACGTCAGACCAATCTAGGAGTATTCAGCTCGAGCATGGAGCCCGCATCTCGTCAAGCACAAGTCTAAATTTGAGAAGGTTCAGAGGTATGCCACCAGACTAGCACCCGAGCTGAGGGGTATGAACTACGAGGAAAGACTACGAAAACTGAACCTCACGAAGCTGGAAGAAAGAAGAGTTCGGGGAGGCATGATCACCACATACAAGATTCTCATTGGAATTGATATTGATAGATAAAGAAAGTTTATAGGTATTGTATATTCTCATGATATCAAATAGGTATGGAGAACATTGCTATATAATGTGGTCTTCCATGAAACAATAATTAGTCGGAAATTGTATTTCAGTGAACGAAATATAAAAATAATAATAATAATAAAAATGTAAATGTAAACTATATTTGATATAAACTGTTTCTTACATAAAAAAAATCAGAAATTAACGGCAATTAAGTCGTTTTTGAGACTGATAATGGGATTACGAGTCAAAGCCCGTTCATGATATATTGTGAGGTGATAGCGAGAGGAAGCAGAGGTGCCCAGGGGACAGCTAGACATTGAAGGAGACACGCTTTCACTGCTCCTGGAGAGGGAGGTTCGCGCTGTAACTTTCAGACCACTCTAACTTTCAGACCATACTGTAACTTTCAGACCACACTGCAACTTTCAGACCACCCTAACTTTCAGATCATATTGTAACTTTCAGACCACACTGTAACTTTCAGACCACACTGCAACTTTCAGACCACCCTAACTTTCAGATCATATTGTAACTTTCAGACCACACTAACTTTCAGACCACACTGTAACTTTCAGACCACACTGTAACTTTCAGACTACACTGCAACTTTCAGACCACACTGTAACTTTCAGACTACACTGTAACTTTCAGACCACACTGTAACTTTCAGACTACACTGCAACTTTCAGACCACACTGTAACTTTCAGACCACACTGTAACTTTCAGACCACACTGTAACTTTCAGACCACACTGTAACTTTCAGACCACACTGTAACTTTCAGACCACACTAACTTTCAGACTACACTGCAACTTTCAGACCACACTGTAACTTTCAGACTACACTGTAACTTTCAGACCACACTTTCAGACCAAAATGTAGCTTTCAGACCACACTGCAACTTTCAAACCACATTGCAACTTTCAGACCACACTGCAACTTTCAGACCACACTAACTTTCAGACCATAATGTAACTTTCAGACCACACTGCAACTTTCAGATCACACTAACTTTCAGACCACACTGTAACTTTCAGGCCACACTGCAACTTTCAGACCACACTGTAACGTTTAGACTACACTGTAACTTTCAGACCACAATGTAACTTTCACACCACACTGTAACTTTCAGACCACACTGTAACTTTCAGACCACACTAACTTTCAGACCATAATGTAACTTTCAGACCACACTGCAACTTTCAGATCACACTAACTTTCAGACCACACTGTAACTTTCAGGCCACACTGCAACTTTCAGACCACACTGTAACGTTCAGACTACACTGTAACTTTCAGACCATAATGTAACTTTCAGACCACACTGCAACTTTCAGACCACTCTGCATCTTTCAGACCACACTGTAACTTTCAGACTACACTGTAACTTTCAGACTACACTATAACTTTCAGATAACACAGTGTAAATTTCAGACCACACTGTAACTTTCAGACCACACTGTAACTTTCAGACCACACTGTAACTTTCAGACTACACTGTAACTTTCAGACCACACTGTAACTTTCAGACCACACTAACTTTCAGACCCCAATGTAACTTTCAGACCACACTGTAACTTTCAGACCACACTGCAACTTTCAGACCACATTGTAACTTTCAGACTTCACTGTAACTTTCAGACCACACTGTAACTTTCAGACCACACTAACTTTCAGACCACACTGTAACTTTCAGACCATACTCTAACTTTCAGACCACATTGTAACTTTCAGACTTCACTGTAACTTTCGGACCACACCGTAACTTTCAGACCACACTAACTTTCAGACCACACTGTAACTTTCAGACCATACTCTAACTTTCAGACCACATTGTAACTTTCAGACCACACTGTAACTTTCAGACCACACTGCAACTTTCAGACTACACTGTAACTTTCAGATCACACTGTAACTTTCAGACCACACTGTAACTTTCAGACTACACTGTAACTTTCAGACCACTGTAACTTTCAGACCACATTGTAACTTTCAGACCACACTGTAACTTTCAGACCACACTGTAACTTTCAGACTATACTGCAACTTTCAGACCACACTGTAACTTTCAGACTACACTGTAACTTTCAGACCACACTTACTTTCAGACCATAATGTAGCTTTCAGACAACACTGCAACTTTCAGACCTCATTGCAACTTTCAGACCACACTGCAACTTTCAGACCACACTAACTTTCAGGCCACACTGCAACTTTCAGACCACACTGTAACGTTCAGACTACACTGTAACTTTCAGACCGCAGTGTAACTTTCAGACCACACTGCAACTTTCAGACCTCATTGCAACTTTCAGACCACACTGCAACTTTCAGATCACACTAACTTTCAGACCACACTGTAACTTTCAGGCCACACTGCAACTTTCAGACCATAATGTAACTTTCAGACCACACTGTAACGTTCAGACCACACTAACTTTCAGACCACACTAACTTTCAGATTATACTGAGACCGTCTTAGTCAAATGTTTGGTGTGCAAGGAGCAGGTTAAGGGTGTAGCGGCGTGTGCAATACACCACCTTGCATCACTCTCTTGTGTTCCTGAACGACAACTTATTGTGTTATATAAGCTATTGTTAAGAGCTGGGAGTGGCGCGGCTGCTCGGAGTGGCGCGGCTGCTCGGAGTGGCGCGGCGGCTCGGAGTGGCGCGGCGGCTCGGAGTGGCGCGGCGGCTCGGAGTGGCGCGGCGGCTCGGAGTGGCGCGGCGGCTCGGAGTGGCGCGGCGGCTCGGAGTGGCGCGGCTGCTCGGAGTGGCGCGGCGGCTCGGAGTGGCGCGGCGGCTCGGAGTGGCGCGGCGGCTCGGAGTGGCGCGGCGGCTCGGAGTGGCGCGGCTGCTCGGGGCTGGGAGAGAGAGTGAGAGTGTACGGAGAGTGCGGCTCCTGATGTGTTGGTTCTGAACCAGGATTCATCACGTGTCCTCTTACGAAACCTTTACATCTTAATGTTTAATCGATGGCGCCTTTTGTTTACACACGGAACTGTTGAGGGGCTCAAGATACTTCACCGCTCAAGTTGTTAATGTGACAACCTCGTAGAGCTTCAAAACTCAAAAACTTTATTAAATATCAACAAAGCCACCGTGGTTAAGGTTCAGATGTACAGGTTACCTTTGTGGTTACCTTGAGATGATTTCGGGGCTTGGCGTCCCCGCGGCCCGGTCCTCGACCAAGCCTCCTAGGCCTGTCCTAAAGTCTCCTAAGACGTAATAACAAGGGTCGCAAGTTATTGCGTTACTGCTTAACGAGTCCTGGCACCTGGGTACGGTCCCCCGCCTCAGTGTGTATCGTGCGAGAAAATGTCATTTGAAGCATTTGTTTTGGTTTTTGTATTATGGAAGTAAGCATTGGTGGATCACTGAGGCTTAGCTGGCGAGGCTTAGAGCACCAGGGGCTCTATGCCTTGATGACACTTAGAGCCGGACGACTCTAACCTCCCCCCCCTCCCCCCCCCCACACACATGCTCCCCCACTGTATGTGTTGGGGGGGGGGTGGGACCTGCCCTCCACAAGTGTGTCATCAGTATGGGGGGTGTTTAACCCTAAACCCCAGGGTTGGGGGGGGTGTTGATAGCGGGGGGGGGGGGAGTCTGATCATTCAGCCCCATAATTGCTCAATAGACAATTATGTAATTATAAATGTAATTGGGAAATTATAAATTGGGTTAAGATTTATTATCATTGAAAGTTTATTTATTTTTTTTTTTTTGGGGGGGGGGAGGGGGGGTGGAGAAGCAGTGGTTACCTGTGGTGCTTGTCGGTGCCCTCCCCCCCTCCCCCCCCCTCCCCCCCCCCTCCCCCCACATCCAAACTGGAGTGACCCCAGGGTGGGGGTCCACTGGCACCCCCCCCCCCCAGGAACAAGCCCAGGGGGGGCACCCCGCACCTGGTAGTGAAGATGCTAAGTTAAAAGTGAGTTCAGAGCAGGATATCATTAACTCCGCAGCCAATCAGTTATCGTGCAAGGCCCCTCAGGTGGGCCAATCAGGACGCTGCTGTCACCCACACCACACAAACCTGCCAATAACGCCACTACACACCCGTGTGTGTGGGTTCTCTCGCGGTTAGCATCAACCATCATATAATTATTTGTTTTTATAGCTCATTTTCCTTTCTATATACACTAGTTTAATGATTGAAACTTAGAGGTATAATGAACCAATGTTTATAGCAAACCTAACTTGATTCTTTCATTTTGAACCGTTATAGAAGGGTTTGAAACACAAGTGAGTCACTCCTTCAGCGTGATTGGTCGATTATCAATGCCTTTAGAGTTTTTTTTTTTTTGAGTGTTAAATTTGGTTGTTCCTGGAGGGTCGTTTGGTGAATCATCCCTGATTGGTGACCCGGTATTGGTGACCCTACAGCTGATTGGGTGGTGTGAACATAGTTCCCATATCCCCCAAGTGAGGTACCTATTAATGTGTTGCCATGTGCCACCACAGGTCAGGTCAAGAGGCACCACAGACGAGGTCAGGTCATCATGGCACCACAGGTGAGGACATCATGGCACCACAGGTCAGGTCATCAGCACCACAGGTGAGGTCATCATGGCACCACAGGTGAGGTGGCACCACAGGTCATCATGGCACCACAGGTGAGGTCATCATGGCACCACAGGTGAGGTCATCATGGCACCACAGGTGAGGTCATCATGGCACCACAGGTGAGGTCATCATGGCACCACAGGTGAGGTCATCATGGCACCACAGGTGAGGTCATCATGGCACCACAGGTCAGGTCATCATGGCACCACAGGTCAGGTCATCATGGCACCACAGGTCAGGTCATCATGGCACCACAGGTCAGGTCATCATAGCACCACAGGTCAGGTCAGGTCAGGCCATCATGGCACCACGTCAGGAGCACCACAGGTCAGGTCAGGTCATCGTGACACCACAGGTCAGGTCATCGTGACACCACAGGTCTGGTCAGATCATCGTGGCACCACAGGTCAGATCATCGTGGCACCACAGGTCAGGTCATCGTGGCACCACAGGTCAGGTCGTCGTGGCACCACAGGTCAGGTCATCGTGGCACCACAGGTCAGGTCACAGTGGCACCACAGGTCAGGTCACCGTGGCACCACAGGTCAGGTCATCGTTGCACCACAGGTCAGGTCATCGTGGCACCACAGGTCAGGTCACCGTGGCACCACAGATCAGGTCATCATAGCACCACAGGTCAGGTCATCGTGACACCACAGGTCTGGTCAGGTCATCGTGGCACCACAGGTCAGGTCAGGTCATCGTGGCACCACAAGTCAGGTCAGGTCATCGTGACACCACAGGTCTGGTCAGGTCATCGTGACACCACAGGTCAGGTCAGGTCATCGTGGCACCACAGGTCAGGTCAGGTCATCGTGGCACCACAGGTCTGGTCAGGTCATCGTGGCACCACAGGTCAGGTCAGGTCATCGTGACACCACAGGTCTGGTCAGGTCATCGTGGCACCACAGGTCAGGTCAGGTCATCGTGGCACCACAGGTCAGGTCAGGTCATCGTGACACCACAGGTCTGGTCAGGTCATCGTGGCACCACAGGTCAGGTCAGGTCATCGTGGCACCACAGGTCAGGTCAGGTCATCGTGGCACCACAGGTCAGGTCAGGTCGTCGTGACACCACAGGTCAGGTCAGGTCATCGTGACACCACAGGTCTGGTCAGGTCATCGTGACACCACAGGTCTGGTCAGGTCATCGTGGCACCACAGGTCAGGTCAGGTCATCGTGGCACTACAGGTCAGGTCATCGTGACACCACAGGTCAGGTCATCGTGACACCACAGGTCAGGTCATCGTGACACCACAGGTCTGGTCAGGTCATCGTGGCACCACAGGTCAGGTCGTCGTGGCACCACAGGTCAGGTCAGGTCATCGTGACACCACAGGTCAGGTCAGGTCATCGTGACACCACAAGTCTGTTCAGGTCATCGTGGCACCACAGGTCAGGTCAGGTCATCGTGGCACCACAGGTCAGGTCGTCGTGGCACCACAGGTCAGGTCATCGTGGCACCACAGGTCAGGTCGTCGTGGCACCACAGGTCAGGTCAGGTCGTCGTGGCACCATAGGTCAGGTCATCGTGGCACCACAGGTCAGGTCGTCGTGGCACCACAGGTCAGGTCGTCGTGGCACCACAGGTCAGGTCATCGTGGCACCACAGGTCAGGTCATCGTGGCACCACAGGTCAGGTCGTCGTGGCACCACAGGTCAGGTCAGGTCGTCGTGGCACCACAGGTCAAGTCGTCGTGGCACCACAGGTCAGGTCAGGTCATCGTGGCACCACAGGTCAGGTCAGGTCATCGTGGCACCACAGGTCAGGTCGTCGTGGCACCACAGGTCAGGTCACCGTGGCACCACAGGTCAGGTCACCGTGGCACCACAGGTCAGGTCGTCGTGGCACCACAGGTCAGGCCGTCGTGGCACCACAGGTCAGGTCACCGTGGCACCACAGGTCAGGTCACCGTGGCACCACAGGTCAGGTCACCGTGGCACCACAGGTCAGGTCACCGTGGCACCACAGGTCAGGTCACCGTGGCACCACAGGTCAGGTCGTCGTGGCACCACAGGTCAGGTCGTCGTGGCACCACAGGTCAGGTCAGGTCGTCGTGGCACCACAGGTCAGGTCATCGTGGCACCACAGGTCAGGTCGTCGTGGCACCACAGGTCAGGTCACCGTGGCACCACAGGTCAGGTCGTCGTGGCACCACAGGTCAGGTCGTCGTGGCACCACAGGTCAGGTCGTCGTGGCACCACAGGTCAGGTCGTCGTGGCACCACAGGTCAGGTCACCGTGGCACCACAGGTCAGGTCGTCGTGGCACCACAGGTCAGGTCGTCGTGGCACCACAGGTCAGGTCGTCGTGGCACCACAGGTCAGGTCATCGTGGCACCACAGGTCAGGTCAGGTCATCGCGGCATCCTTCCTCTATTATGATCTAGGCCTGTTAGTACAAAAATGTTTAGATTGGCACAGAGTGTTCTGAGGCAATATTATTCTCGATTGCTTTTCTTATCTATCGTTAAGACATACTCAAGGAACCCATATGTATTTCTTTGATTTTGCTGATTTTCACCAGTTGTGTTTTCACAAATAATAATGTTGATATGTGTGTATTATATGTATATATGTATTAATCCTTCCACTCAAATAAATGGAAGAAGCTTCACATGTTTTCTTAATACCTTTCTGACACTTTAAACGCCCGAAATCACCTGTATTAAAACAAAAGATAAAAACATAATTAAATGATTCTCCAGATATTAAATGAAACTCCAGATTCCCATGCGAGGCAGCTCATATATATATATATCCACACAAACTCAATTTTATGTGTCTAACCTACGCTTGAAACACCCCAACGATCCCACGTCCGTTAGATTACCCGAGAATAGGTTCCGTGGATCAGTTACCCCAGCTTCCAAAACCAGTATTTACCCAGGTCTTTGGTTAATCTGAACTTGTCCACGTTATGTCAACAGATACATTACTGATACCATAGGAGGACACTACTACCATAGTAGGACACTACTACCATAGGAGAACACTATTACCATAGTAGGACACTACTACTATTGGAGCGTACAGAACGTGTATATTACAGTGTTTTACTTCTTACTAATAAATGGTGGCCATAATACTTAAGAGGTTGGTGGGCCTTATCAACCCTACAGGTGTGGAGGTCGTAAATAATCCCTGGAAGGTTGATGGTCCTTAATAACCCTCCAAAGGCTGATAGGCTTTAATAAGGTCTATCAGAGGTTGACACTCCAGCGGTTGATAGGCCTTAATAACCCTTCAGAGGTTGAAATAGGCCATAATAACCCTCCAAATGTTGATATAGGCCATAATAACCCACCAGACTTTGTTATAGGCCTTAATAATCCTACAACGGTTGATATAGGCAATAATAACCGTCCAGAGGTTGTTATAGGCCATAATAACCCACCTGACGTTGATATAGGCCTTAATAACCCACCAGATGTTGATATAGACAATAATAACCCTCCAGACGTTGATATGGGCCATAATAATCCTACAGACATTGATATGGGCCATAATAACCCACCAGAGGCTGATATAGGCCATATTAACCCACCAGACGTTGATATAGGCCATAATAACCCACCAGAGGTTGATATAGGCCATAATAACTCACCAGAGGTTGATATAGACAATAATAACCCTCCAGACGTTCATATAAGCCCCCTCCACAGGTTGATATAGGCCATAATAATCCACCAGACGTTGATATGGGCCATAATAACCCACCAGAGGCTGATATAGGCCATATTAACCCACCAGACGTTGATATTGACAATAATAACCCTCGAGACGTTGATATAGGCCATAATAACCCACCAGAGGTTGATATAGGCCATAATAACCCACCAGAGGTTGATATAGGCCATAATAACCCACCAGAGGTTGATATAGGCCATAATAACCCACCAGAGGTTGATATAGGCCATAATAACCCACCAGACGTTGATATAGGCCATAATAACCCTCCAGACGTTGATATAAGCCATAATAACCCACCAGAGGTTGATATAGGCCATAATAACCCACCAGAGGTTGATATAGGCCATAATAACCCACCAGAGGTTGATATAGGCCATAATAACCCACCAGACGTTGATATAGGCCATAATAATCCTCCAGACGTTGATATAGGCCATAATAACCCTCCAGAGGTTGATATAGGCCATAATAACCCTCCAGAGGTTGATATAGGCCATAATAACCCTCCAAAGGTTGATATATGCCATAATAACCCACCAGACGTTGATATAGGCCATAATAACCCACCAGACGTTGATATAGGCCATAATAACCCTCCAGACGTTGATATAGGCCATAATAACCCTCCAGAGGTTGATATAGGCCATAATAACCCACCCAGCCATAATAACCCACCAGATGGTTGATATAGGCCATAATAATCCAGACGTTGATATAGGCCTAACCCACCAGACGTTGATATAGGCCATAATAACCCTCCAGTAGTTGATATAGGCTATAATAACCCCCAGAGGATATAGGCCATAATAACCCCATAATAATAACCCACCAGAGGTTGATATAGGCCATAATAACCTTCCAGAGGTTGATATAGGCTATAATAACCCACCAGAGGGTACTATAGGCCGTAATAACCCTCCAGAGGTTGATATAGGCCATAATAACCCACCAGACGTTGATATAGGCCATAATAACCCACCAGACGTTGATATAGGCCATAATAACCCACCAGACGTTGATATAGGCCATAATAACCCACCAGACGTTGATATAGGCCATAATAATCCTCCAAAGGTTGATATAGGCCATAATAACCCACCAGAGGTTGTTATAGGCCTTAATAACCCACCAGACGTTGATATAGGCCATAATAACCCACCAGACGTTGATATATGCCATAATAACCCTCCAGACGTTGATATAGGCCATAATAACCCACCAGAGGTTGATATAGGCCATAATAACCCTCCAGACGTTGATATAGGCCATAATAACCCACCAGACGTTGATATAGGCCATAATAACCCACCAGACGTTGATATAGGCCATAATAACCCACCAGAGGTTGATATAGGCCATAATAACCCTCCAGACGTTGATATAGGCCATAATAACCCACCAGACGTTGATATAGGCCATAATAACCCACCAGAGGTTGATATAGGCCATAATAACCCACCAGACGTTGATATAGGCCATAATAACCCACCAGAGGTTGATATAGGCCATAATAACCCACCAGACGTTGATATAGGCCATAATAACCCACCAGAGGTTGATATAGGCCATAATAACCCACCAGACGTTGATATAGGCTATAATAACCCACCAGATGTTGATATAGGCCATAATAACCCGCCAGAGGTTGATATAGGCCATAATAACCCACCAGAGGTTGATATAGGCCATAATAACCCACCAGACGTTGATATAACCCACCAAAGGTTGATATAGGCCATAATAACTCACCAGACGTTGATATAGGCCATAATATCCCTCCAGACGTTGATATAGGCCATAATAACCCACCAGAGGTTGATATAGGCCATAATAACCCTCCAGACGTTGATATAGGCAATAATAACCCACCAGAGGTTGATATAGGCCATAATAACCTTCCAGAGGTTGATATAGGCTATAATAACCCACCAGAGGGTACTATAGGCCGTAATAACCCTCCAGAGGTTGATATAGGTAATAATAACCCTCCAGACGTTGTTATAAGCCATAATAACCCTCCAGAGGTTGATATAGGCCATAATAACCCACCAGAGGTTGATATAGGCCATAATAACCCACCAGAGGTTGATATAGGCCATAATAACCCTCCAGACGTTGATATAGGCCATAATAACCCTCCAGACGTTGATATAGGCCATAATAACCCACCAGAGGTTGATATAGGCCATAATAACCCACCAAACGTTGATATTTATTTATTTAATTTATTTATTTATTATTATACAAGAAGGTACATTGGGTTTGTGAGGATACATAGCATAGTATTTACACTCTTGTAAAGCCACTAGTATGCGCAGCGTTTCGGGCAGGTCCTTAATCTAACATAATTTTAAGTAGGTAAATTCTAGCAGAATTAATAAAATGATAGCAGATACATTGCAAGAAAAAAATGAGATAAGAGAGATTAGTAAGTATATTAAAGCACATTGGTATATTAAAGCTCTGATTGATTACATTGACAACTTGATTGGTAATTTAAACAAGATTAATAGACACCATACAGCAGATTGACAGCACATATAAGAAGACAGCAATGATCACAATGGTAAAGATGTTCGGATTGGGAACATAAAGATAGGGAGATTGGGTAGCAATAGATACAGTGCAATTTTAAAGCAACAAGGTAAAAAAAACTATGAAGATGAGATTAGGTACTTTTTAGTTTTGTTTTTGAATGACGCAAAAGTTGGACAGCTTTTCATTTCATTAGTGAGTGAGTTCCATAGACTGGGTCCCTTATTTGCATAGAGTGTTTACACAGATTAAGTTTGATTCTGGGGATATCAAAGATATATTTATTTCTGGTGTGGTGATAATGTGTCCTATTACATCTGTCCAGGGAGAGTTTCAGAGCCGGATTTGCATTTAAGAACAGGGTTTTGTAAATGTAGTTGACACAAGAGAATTTGTGGAGTGAGCTTATGTTTAGCATGTTTAGGGAGTTAAGCAAGGGGGCTGAGTGTTGTCTGAAAGCAGAATTTGTTATTATTCTGATAGCAGATTTTTGCTGTGTGATGATGGACTTAAGGTGGTTTGCAGAGGTTGAACCCCATGCACAGATAACATAATTAAGATAGGACATAAGGCCATAATAAAATAGGCCATAATACCCATAATTATGGCCATAATATAGGCCATAATAACCTTCCAGACGTTAATATAGGTCATAATAACCCTCCAGAGGTTGATATAGGCCATAATAACCCTCCAGAGGTTGATATAGGCCATAATAACCCACCAGACGTTGATATAGGCCATAATAACCCTCCAGAGGTTGATATAGGCCATAATAACCCACCAGACGTTGATATAGGCCATAATAATCCTCCAAAGGTTGATATATGCCATAATAACCCTTCAGAGATTGACATAGGCCATAATAACCCACCAGATGTTAATATAGGCCAAAATAACCCACCAGAGGTTGATATAGGCCATAATAACCCACCAGAGGTTGATATAGGCCATAATAACCCACCAGAGGTTGTGATATAGGCCATAATAACCCACCAGACGTTGATATAGGCCATAATAACCCACCAGAGGTTGATATAGGTCATAATAACCCTCCAGAGGTTGATATAGGCCATAATAACCCTCCAGAGGTTGATATAGGCCATAATAACCCACCAGAGGTTGATATAGGCCATAATAACCCACCAGACGTTGATATAGGCCATAATAACCCACCAGACGTTGATATAGGCCATAATAACCCACCAGACGTTGATATAGGCCATAATAACCCTCCAGAGGTTGATATAGGCCATAATAACCCTCCAGAGGTTGATATAGGCCATAATAACCCATCAGAGGTTGATATAGGCCATAATAACCCTCCAGAGGTTGATATAGGCCATAATAACCCTCCAGAGGTTGATATAGGCCATAATAACCCTCC